AAAGAGTAAGTATGAGTGAGGAGGTACGGTCAAGGCCCGGACAGGCGCGCGTGATGAAGGGTGCAAGCCCTATCCAGGACATGGTTTTTTAGGAGCTGCTACTAAGGTTTGGGTGACTAGTTGACTAAAAGATTGTTTAGTCTCTTTTAGTAAAGGTGTTTGGTAAAAAGTTACTAAATAAAGCTACTAAAATTAGGAGGTGCTAGGTGAATCAAGCAGCTCCGGCTCGGCTGTTGATCATGCCTACTTTCAGTTTCAGTGGTTGCCCTGCTTTAGCTCTTTTGCATACAGCTTTGTTTTGTGGTGTGTGTACGTCACTCTTACTGAGAGCTAGCTAGCTGCTTTCCTTCACATTGAGCAGCTAGCTGCTTTCCTTCACATATTATCGCGCATTCGTAATCCTTCTCGATCCTCAGCACTGTGGGGCTGATCGTTATGCTAAATAAAGTTGTCACAATGCGCTGTGGCAGCACATTAAAGACTAGCTTTATTTGCTCCTTGAACTGTTTTGATCATTTTGTGGCTTCCAGTAAGCTTATCAGGCAGGAACTCTTTAGATCTATGTTAATGTAAGAACGAAAAGATGTGGACTTGGCGTTGGTGGTTATGTTAATTCTCGTGTTTTCGTTTGTTGAAATGAGCTGGTTGCGCGTATCACACTTACAGCTACGTAGATCCATGCAACTATTCAAGCTTTAGGCCCTCTTTTGGAACATAGTTCTTTCCTGTTACTGCGTTTTCTCTGTGAAAAATAAACTCATGAAATTCCTATATAATTTCTATAAAATTACTCTGTTCCAAAGGAGCCTTTAGTTTTGAAGTTGTTTCGTTGCCGTAAGCAATTTCTAGAGTATGCACACTGCGGTAGTCCATTTGACCATTTGTTTGCCATGGATTGGCCTTTCTTGATCCGAACAAAGCAAAAGATCCTAGTACTCACAACTGAGGCCCTTTTGACATGGCTCCACCATCAGTTTCTAGAGTTATTTGGAGTCATTTTGTGCCTAACGAGGTAAAACCGAACACCTCTACCTCGTAGCTCTTTAAAACATGCTGAGACAAAGGATTGGTGTAGGGTGAAAGTGAAACTAGTGGCTTCACCGAGCTCCACCTCACTCTGAGTGGGCCCTATGTGGGAATTTGTGAGAGTATGTTTTTAAAGAGTTTCACATGTAGAGCTATTGCCAAATAGTTTACAAAACAGCTATAGTTCCACTGGTTTGAGCTGCTCGTGAAGCTGAACCTCAATAAACAAATTAAAGCCTAAGAATCAAATGCAACCTAGCTGCAGTGAGAGAGAAAATACCAACCCAACAATCAAATTACTCAGTCAAATCAAGCACTTGAAACTAAGGCAAATCATCAGGTCTATATGGTCTCAGACGATATAGTCTTTTTATACACGAGAAGAAGATGCCTCAACAATTGTAAAGTTCCTTTCCTGATATTCCATCCGTCCTTAAATAACCGTCGCGCTTTTGGTTTTCCGTGTAAGTAAGTTTGGTGAATTTATAGAAAAAGGCGTTAATACATTTTATTACAAATAAATTTATTATAAAAATAGATTCAATGATCTAATGATATTAATTTTGTACCATAAATATTAATATTTTTAATATATATTTAGTCAAAATTATTTTGAGAAGCGAAAATAATGATAATTATTTAGGGAGGATGAAGATGCGCTTACATAAGATTTTTATTTTTTCCTTTTTTAAGTCACCCTAAACAGATTTTTTTATATTGCATGAGATTTTTTTTTATATTGGATATGGGATGTCAAATTTTTGAAAGGCATATATTTAATGTCACAGTAAGATACGCGCATTAGACGTCAAACATTGGAATT